GTTGTTGAATTGTGTATTTAGTAGTGGAAGTCCATCAGGCAAAATCACTTTTTCATCATTCATTGCATTTTATTAAATTAAAATGTAAATAAACCTCTGTCTTCTTTTAAATAATATATATATTATATATAAAGTAATTATATAATAAAAATAGTAGTTATAATAAAAACCTATAATTGAGTTATCTTTCATCAAACAGGTTTTCAGACCAATACTTTAATTAAATATCAGCTCATTAGCAGGATGTATTAATGCTGTTAGACATATTTATTACTTTAATTGCTTTTGTTTACCTGCTGTCCCCATTTGTTTGGCCTGCATTATGACTGTGCATGCCAGTGTCACTCATTTGTAGAAACCTGAAACCTGTATCACTGCGCTGTGGTGGATAATCAGGTTGGATTTTAGATTTCACAGAAGGCTGATATTCTCATTATCTCAAGAAGGCCAGCGTCAGTACGTGATCTGCCATCACACTGTTAGCTTCAGTGTGTAAAGAGAGAAAAATCAATATGGTTTTGATAGCCAGGGTTAATAACAAATGCTATTGCTAATAAACCACTTTCTCTCAGATCCTTTGTGCTGATGGTGTTAAAGCTGTTTGTCTGCTGGGATGATTTATCTGCGGTGTTTCCCACTCTACCTGCCTTCACTCAAGGGTAAAGTGTGGATGTTTCGCCCTGACGGTGCATTGGTAGGACAGACACGCTCTGCTCCTGGCCTTCTTTTTTTTCTTTCTACTGAACCAGGTGTTGTATTCAGATTGCCCTTGAAAGCCGTCCTCTGTTATGCCGAGTTTTTTTATGAATTCATTTTTGATGAAATGATCTCCTGTGCCAACGCATATAAAGTGCAGCTGGAAGGTGACGGTGTAAAAGGGGATTGTAAATGTGTAAAAGTGCTGCGAAGGACAGAAACAAATGTTCTCCATATCTCCTGTAAGAAGGATAATATGTCCACAAATTCAATTACAAACAGCCCAGGACAGCTATTAGTTCCATGATTTTTAAACATTATATTTTTTGTGGAATAATTTGCTTATCTATGATGATATTAACAATCAATAATGAGTTCTTATCGGAAGTTGTGTTCGGACAAATCGATCCACTGGTGTGACTCTCTTAGTTAGCAGTGGCAATAGCAACACTAGTATTGTTATGAAGGCTGTAAATAGACTTTCGCTAAATATATATTAATGACGTTGATAGATATTTTGCAGCTGCTTGGACTCGTTCTTTTTGCAATTGTTATTACCAACACTGGTTTTCGTTTTCACCTTGTGAGTCTGTGAGCCAATGTTTGACACTATAGATACACGTGAGAATAACTGAATACTTAATGTCAAGACCGATGTTGTCTCAGTAAGAACTCCAGAAGTTGGGGGGGTAGGCAGTTGGGTAAAAGTCCATTGGAGCCATCTGGCGTTGTGGCTGGTGTGACCACATGGCAAGATGGCCTCTAGTTTTTATATTAAAAAAGAGAAAAATAAGGCTTTCTTTTTTTGTTCGATGAGGGGATATTTAATAGGTTCAAGATATAACATATTCTCATGAACAAACAGGATCTATACATAAGCATTAGCCTGGGTGATTTAGGGATTAAGTGCCTTGCTCAAGGGCATCTCGGCATCAGGAGTATCAGGAGGTGAACTTGCACCTGTCCAGATGGAGCTCCGGTTTCCAAGCCAATGCGACATGTACTGAGATGTATTGATTTTTGCACATTAAAATATTCAAACATTTTAAAATAAAGCAAAGGTTAATGTAGAACATGAGCCAATCATTTGGGAAAGCGGTAATAAATACAATGTAAGCATATCTTTTATATCAAATGCATATAAGACAGCGAATGAAAAACATGAGTCTAGGGTGAAAATGTAACCGATGGGGCACAATTAGGAGAATATAATTCAGGGGAAATTATCCATACAACAGCATCGTTTTGTGCATTCATTTTTGTAGGATTCCAATAATGTCACATTTATCAGAACAATGGTTTCACCTGTGGCTTCTCCTGTGTTTCCCCTGGTAAAAAAACATTTGCTCATTCTGGTGCGCCAATCCCACCTCCACCTGTGTCCAATACACAGTATACATGATCACTAGGTGCCCATAACTGCCTTCAAAATAAAAGCATACAGAATTACTTTAACTAACAAAAGAAATGACAATAAATAAAAATTAATTTAATATAAACAAAAACAGCTAGAAAATAAATGTCTAATAAAAATATAGCTCCAACAATGAGTAAAATCTATCCAGTGTCCAGAACCTCAACTGGCATGAAATGTAATTCATATTCTCCCTCCTCTCAACACCTGAATTCTTTGGAACTCAAAAAAAGGTTGAAATCCACTGAAGCTATTTTATGCAGCCAGGAAGCCTTGGCATAGTTCACACGTACATCCGTCTCCTAGGACGGCAAAATGAACCTCCGAACACACCGGACCTTTTCCCGGGAGTCAGGGGGCTAATAATGATGACAGACTCTGGGCTCTCTTTGTCCTCTGGGAGGGAGAATGTGAGGGAAAGTGAGGTGTACTCACATCAAACATGGCTGATATATGAAAAGATGAGGTGGGGTGTTCGGATGGCAAGTACAGAGGCGATGAGGGTGGTATAGAGGTGAAAAAGCACATTGTCAGATACGATCACTCTCCCAAAAGGAACCACATCAAGCCCCTCAGCACCTGCCTGAGCGCTGACTGTGACATTTATACATGCTGCTATGACTAAAGCGCGACCAGACAACCCTGTCTGAACACCAAACATCTGACTGGCCCATCTTGGCGGCTGCGCTGAAATTAAGCTGCCATTCCTGCCGCCGCTCTTTCACTGTGTGTCACCCTGTGGGAGAGATTGATGCTCTCCCTTTTCTCCTCTCCTATTCAGCTCCTTTGGTGGGATTAGGCGATTTGAAACGTTGATGAAGTTCAGACAGCTACAAATGGGCACACAGATACATCTTCATTATGCCAGGGAGTGCTCCTAAAACATTATCATTAGTCTTCAAACCTCAAAAGCTGGCCTGCCAAATATAGGCTGTCATTTTAAAAGCAGCCCCGTGTGTCTGGCTCCTGTCTGCTGCCATTCAGCCATATGGATCTGAGATGGGTGATGACGTTTTACAATATGTCTTAAAAAGTTTCACCAGTAGATTTTTGCATAAATGGAGTGGCATGTTCAATAAACTCAAGACAGAAGGAGTGCAGCGAGGCCATACACATCCAAATGTGTTCCCACGGGGGAAGGAATGGACTGTCCCTCCTAAAATACAAACATTTAAAAGGCTGTATTATGATCATGATGCTTTAAACAGCCACATCTGCCTCTCTCATTAAACCTGTAATCACTCACTGAATTATCTCTCATTCACATCCCGTCTTCTAGAAATACTATAATAAAGTTGTTTTCCAAATTACATTATGCTGTTAAACTTCATCATCACAGTGTTATATTTCCTGATAAAAATGTTTTTCCGGTTTGTACATTTATGTCCCACACATGATTCAGGTAGGTGGTGTCTGCAGTTGGTTTGCATCCCATGTGGGGTTAGGCTAACACAACCAGAGCTGGTGGTTCAATGTCCATAGCCTCAAAGCAGCTATAATGGATATGTTTACAACAACAATTTATGTTAATGATTTTGTGACCATGTAAAGGGTTCTCTTATGGTGATGAGACTGCAGATATCACCTGCTTTACAGAGCGTTCTTCCTGAGATTCTTCCCTAGCTGCTAGCTGTCTATGGCCAGCATCAATTCAGCCTCTTCGCTCTTTTTATTAGCTGAGAGCTGGACTGTGGTGTCAGCTTCATAACCATGAGTGATATTACAAGGACTACATTGTATGATCTATGGTTTCATCTTATTGTTAAGCTGCAATGCCCTCGACTGTTTTGATGTTTTGATACACTTTGAACACTCTCATTATTTTTTCGCAGGAATCATTTGTCTGTGTAAAATCCACTCTACACTACCTACTCAGCGCCAACCGGCAAACAGACGCAGTAGGTGCTAGCTGGAGAACCTAGCTGAGCCTTCAGCTTGTAAAGAGTTATAATTTTGGAGTGATTAAAGTGAGATAATATCAGACTTACATTTATTAGGTGGACACAAACTCAACTCGAACTGATTGATAATGCTGTCCCAAAAGTACTTGAAGCGTAAATATGCACATATTTGCTAAGGGTTTTCTATATTTTAACTTAAGAGATGATGATATGTCTTAGTTGTGTTTGCAACTGCTTTTTGCTGAAAAAACATTTCAGTCTGCAACTCAGGTGGTTGTTTTAGAACTGGAATATCTATGTTTGGCAGTGGGTAAGAACTGATGCCTCGCAGCAAGAGGAGATGAGCCCTGCTTCTCTCTGCATGGGGAAGTGCATGTTGGCACCTAATCCCTCCTTTTCATACTGCATAAATCAGAAATCATCAGAAATCGGTATCCAATAAGTTACTTAAAAAAATGTATGTTTACAGTAGTTAACAGAATGGTGAATTCATTCATGCTGGTTTCAAAATGAAGTCGGGAAACATTATGATTCCATACACACTTCGCCCAGGTAAGAGAACAAACACGTCTATATAAGCACCTTAGTAATTGGGTAGCATTCAATATCCTGCAGCAGTATGGGGGTACTGTGACAAAATATTAATAAGCTTTTGGAGGTGGGAGAAGTAGACGGAGCCTGTCGGAGTTTCTACTTACTAACTTGGCATGTGTGCGCCTCCTGAGAGGCTAATTTTGAAGAAAACAAATACTTGGTATGTTTTCCTTTTTTTGCTTCTTCTTTGGAGACTATGTTGTACATTTAAATGTCCATGGATTCTTATTTGTTTGTGTATACAACTAAAGGCTGTGCACAGGCAAACACAGGTTTTCATTTCTTATCTGAGACAGCTTAGTAAATGGGGCCCTCAAAGAATACAGGCTTATAATCACAGGAAGTCAGTAACGCTAACATGATGTAAGAAGACTGCAGGATGACAGTGTTCTTACTTCGATCTGCAGCAGGGCCTCCTCTCTTTGGTGAAGTACCTCCACGTCCTCCTCACTGATCTCAGACAGGAAAGCTTGAGCCCCTCCATCTGAACCCACTGCTTCTCCAAACAGAGAAACCTCCTCGATCTGCTCAGTGGACTGGGTCTGAGGACTCTGTAAGAGCACACAAACAAATTACATTATAATATATAGTCCTGTTACTATGGTAGCAGATACAGTCTGACAGAGAGTGGTACCACCAGCACACTGTGGCCCCATTCCAATTCACAGAAAGGAACCAGGAATACTTTTTCAGACCTCTAGTCGCAATGGATGTACGTAATCCAGAGGCTATTGTAAATTGAAAAAGTTAGATGAGTAGTCAATTGCAGTCAGTGTTATTTTTCTTTAATGTTTATCTAAATACTCATTATACATTTACTAATTTAAATGTTTCCTCTCTATATGTCAGCACCACTTGAGTCAAAGGGAAAATATTTTACTTTTAATTTCACTAAATTTATTATTAAGAACCTAACATGATCAGCTACAATATGAAGTGCTCACAAACCCCATACATGTGACCTTCAGTAGTCACAACCTAACATTTGTGAAGAGTAAAGCCTCAGGAAGTGCTTGTTTTTTTAAATACTTAATTTCTCCAACATGAAACTGGCTATTATTCTTCTATGAAGGTTATTAATGTTCTTTTTCTTTACCATTTCTTGTTAAAGTAGGGCATAGCTGTAGCCACCACAGCAGTGACAGAAATAGTCTATGTTTTCCATCATATTAGCCTTTGTTCAGAATCAGAATCAGAATACCTGTATTAGTACCACAGAGGGGAAATGTACGTTGTTACAGCAGAAAAACAGCCAAAGACAGCTTAATGTTACGTAGTAACACAATGGGAAGATCAAACCAAACCATGTTCACTTTTGGAATTAAAGAACTGACAACTCAATAAAGTTGAATGTACATTTGCCAATTAGTGATATTTGAAGAGCTAACAGAGTTAGCTAACAGCAGAGAATGTAGCTGAGACTGAGGATGTTAGTCCATAAAACTCATTACATGTGCAAACAATAGTTAGAGGAAGGCCGGGTTGAATTTTTTGCATTGCTAATGTGTTCCCCCTCGGTTTGGCTGACTACACAGCTAATTCATGGCGGAGGGGTCAGAGCGGGTCAGAACACGTGGACCAATCGGGGCTGAGTCACAGGGCTGTGTCTACTGGCCACAATCTGACTCACCGCTCCACAACAAACTCTGCAACATCGTGCTCCCTCCTCCACATGCATACCCTACGCAAATGATCTTGAATATATTAAAACATCACACAGATGGCACAGACTCTCAAGACAATCCTGCTGCTCAAGTTCACATTGTGCTGGAAAGTTCACACAGTTCCTCAAGTTCTCTGCTGTTCGTTCTCGTTCCACTCTGATGAAGTGAATCCAAAGACGTGGGTGGAAAGCAGTCAATAACATTTGCATTGATCTGAAAAATGTTTCTCTAAATGCATATGTATGACATCTGAAAGTCAGGACGCCTCTCACCATTTGCAATCCTTGAAGTGAAAAAGTACAACAGGAAATAGACTCCTACTGCCACGGCTCAGACTACATGTACAATAGTTTTCACAATTTCTTCTCCCACAATGTACTCAGTAGGCAGTGAACTTGCTGTTATGCTTTGAAGGTAGTCAGATTTCAGCCTGTCCTCCTCCAAAAAACGACCAAATAGGTTGATTGTTCAGCAGCTTATTACGACCTATAGTCACGTTTTAAAGTTTAGCACCTCTAGTGGTCGTGTAAGAAACAACAATTTGCGGCATATGCTCCCGTTGATTGCAAACGCTCCGGAGGGTCGTTTATTCACAAATAACACTCTCTGGAAAGTCCTAAATTGTAGAATAATTTGGCCATTAAAATACTTTTTGATTAGATTTCTAGCGAGAAGTATATTGTACTGTTAGAATCCACGTCCAGTGGATGTGTAGGATCTATAGTTTGATAGATATTACGAAGATTATTTGAGGTCTCGCCAGGAGAACGTTAATATACTACGTCTTTCCGCAGCGTCCATGTAAAGTTGGCGACAACCCTCACGGGGTGAAAACAGTATTTCCGGTCTCGAAGTTTTCATAATAAAACCGGAAGTATTCCCCTCACTGTCAAATGATTACACAGTGATATATCTGCATTACTCATCCACTAAAAAACATCAGTTTATCCTTGTTAATTACACAACATTGATTGGTTTAAATTGTGTTCAATGCTTTTGTGTTTTTAACCTTCGATTCGGAGAAACAAATAGTTTTTTGGGAGTTTAGGATGGCCGAAGACACTACACTACCCATAATCCTCAGCTATCATTTGGGACTACAACATCCGCTTTGCTTTACAAACCCCGTGATTAGTCTTCAAGCTCTGTGATTGGATGTTGGAGTGGCAGTGCGCCAAGGTTACGCCGAGCGTCAAGCAGCTCTTTGAAATGGAATGAAACCACGGCAGACTATCCAAAACTGGACTCGAACGGGTCCAGCTCCCCCCCCCCAGAACTACACATGCTGGCTATTGTGTTTCGCAACATGTTCTATGGCACGTCTCTACTGGGAATTGTAGTTTGAAAAGACGTTTTTTTCGTATTTCCCATAATTAGAAGTTGTCAGTATTAAACTGTGTACACTGGTGTTATCAAATTTAAAACATATAATTAATAAATGGGTGAAAATTGCTTGTGTCCATAATGGGCAGCATTAATATACCCACATGATAGCTAAGGTCAGAAGAGCTTTATTTAACAGCTGGTCTTATGACTGTGACCCCTCCTGTTGTTCATTGATAAGCCTTGAAACATGCACTTGTCAAGGTTCAGAGGCACATTTTGCAAATATGGCAGTATCTAAGATAAGATAAGATAAGATAATATATACTTTATTGATCCCAAGTTGGGAAATGTTTTTGTTACAGCAGCATGTACAACATGCAATGTATTATACTTTGTTCTACTCCACTACAATTCAGAGGTTAACCTGGTATTTTTACTCCACTACATTTATTTTAGTTACTTTGCAGATTCTGATTAATGATGTGAAATATAAACAACCCTTAAATCAGACTTTAGTTACACCTGAGTAAAATTAAGGGAAGGTGATTGTCAAGTGCCAAAATAAACTATGCAATATATTGGACGTTAAGTACTTTGTCAGGCTTAATATTTATCTGTAGATACCCCCAACGTTTTTTTCTTATTCAAAAGAAGACCTTAACTTAAAGTATTCTTTAATGTTTAAATAAAGCATTGTGTACATGAATGCCTCAGCTCACTCCCTTCATCTGCTGGACGCTGTCTACCATGGGGCTCTGAGGTTCATAACCAACTGTAAACCCCTCACACACCATTGCACGCTGTACTCTTTAGTCAACTGGACATCATTATCAATGCGCAGATCACTGCACTGGTACAAACTCATCTATACCGCTATGCTTGGACTGCTGCCCCTCTACATATCCACTTACATATCACACAAACAGTACAGCTGTATACGATCTCAAAATTACATCACTCTGTCCGTCCCCTCAGTACGCACGGTGCTTGGGAAAAAAGCCATATCATACTCTGCCCCCTCGACCTGGAACACACTTCAGCAGGAACTTAAGCTGACCAGTTTGATACCCATCACTTATTTTAAACTAATTTTAAAAAAGCTGGAGAAATCATCTGTGGGTGTTTGCACCTGCTATATCTGACTACTGTATGGATTTCAATGACTACTTTTTTTACGATGTTGTATTTTAGTGTTGCCTCTGTGTTTAGTGTCCTGTCTGTCTGTAACTTTGTGTGGTAGTGTTACCACTGACAGGTCTCTCTTGGAAATGAGACCTTGTGTCTCAATGAGATTTTACACCTGTATAAATATAAAAAAAAGCCTTATTAGTTTGTCTGTTTTGCACATCCTCCTATTAATATCTTTGGACGTCCTCCACTAGCTGTTTTATTGTAGAGATCACTACAGTATCTTCTTGATATTTTCTATTCTATATTTCTATCATTGACCTTCTACTTTCCCCCTATTTTGTATGTAGGCTACTCTTAATATTTAAATGTTTTCATCAAATATAACATATTCAATAAAAAAATGCAATAACGTGCTTTAACCACTAGGGGGTGCGGGTTAAAAAACTGTCAAGTTTACAGTGTTAACACAATAAATTATACTTTATGAAGATGTTACAAATAACACACAGCATACAATGCCATAATAACTTTGTATTATTAGTGTAGGACACTTATGTATGTATAACATCTGAAGATGTGTAGTTTTATTCATGTTTTCACATAATTTTACAGGATATTGCTATATTATTTCACATATTGTAGTTCTACCCCTTAATATCTGAGGTATATCCGTTATTTAACAGTAAGCTATTGAAATTCTGATTCCATAGATGTGTCTCCCATCACCCAAAACCCCTGACTATTCTCTCAACTCAGTATTTATATTCTTTAATTCAAAGAAAATCAGTAATATCTTTAAAAACTACAAGTCCTTTTCTATCAGCTGTGCACCATTATGGTGTAAATATAACCTATCTACCAATTGGATCAAATATAAAAGTCAGCCGAATTACTATTGATACTGCAAGGAGATGTATTGTGTGAAGAGAAATTGAAGATGTTGTTTAATTGCTGATATATTTATGATCCACGTAACGTATTCAGTTTCGGTGGCAGTTCTTCCAGTTTGTCCAAAGGTCTTCTATTCAGGGCTCTATAAATAAAGAACTACGGCAGATGTGTAATATTGAATGCAGCCGAACCGTGTATTACAAAGTAGGGATGCCAGCGATTATTCAATTTTTCGAATATTCGTTACAGTCTCCATAATCGAAGATTATTTTTAAAATTCGATTTTATTTATATATTTTTTTATTATTATTTATGTTTTTCTTTTTTTTCCTGGCTTAGTTTCAACCAAAATATAGACTAATGCTCATAATAGTAATAGTATTAATAATTGTAAATGGCCATTGGTCACACCACCAGTTTGTTTTACTGTAAACTTGGAGGAAGCCAGCAGCGCAGGCTGCGCAGAGTGCAGACTGCTGCTGCTGCCTGCTGCAGCCTGCTACAGCCTGCTACACACCGACCCCGCCCCCCCCCCCTTCTCCGTCACACGTGCGATTGATTTATTGGCGACATACAGAACAGTGAGAACAACACAACTAAAGAGGAACAAAGCGGCACGTTCAAAGAAGAGTTCCTCGTGGAACTACTTCGAACTGACAAGTGCAAATTAAGTAAAATGCAAGCTCTGCGAAAATACTTTTTGTTTTTTCTCTCCCGCGCGGGGGGCGGCGAATAATCGATTAATATTCGCCAGGGCTGTCCGATTTTCGAATTTGATCATGGTCAGTTTCTGGCATCCCTATTACAATGCCGTTATGTGATGACTTTCAAAGAAAAAAGCAAGCACTCTCGGAATAAAGTATTATTATTATTATTATTTTTTTTTTCGGATTTCACATCGCATAAACACCATATCCCAACGTGCATTTTGGCTAAAACTTCCAATCACCGAGCTTCAACGATAGCTGAGGATTATGGGTAGTTCGATGTTTTAGCCTATCAAAACATCAGAAATGTGTCTCTCAGAATCGAAAGGGAAAAATCTATGGGAAAAACACAAAAGCAGTGTACACAATTTAAACCAATTAATGTTGTGTAATTAACAAGGATAAACTGATGTGTTTTAGTGGATGAGTACGGCAGATATCACTGTGAAATCATTTGACAGTGAGGGGAATACGGTTTTATTATGAAAACTTCGAGACCGGAAATACTGTTTTCACCCCGTGAGGGTTGACGCTAACTTTACATTGACGCTGCCGTCAATACATTACCTTTAGCTGACGCTTTTATCCAAAGCGACTTACAATAAGTGCATTCGACCAAGAAGATACAAACTTGAAGAAAACAGAATCATATAAGTAACAAAGGACTGGCTTTAGATAAGCCAGTCCTTTGTTAGTATATAAGTGCTTTGTTAGTCATTTTATTGCTCGAAGTGGAGTCGAAAGAGATGAGTTTTCAGTCTGCGCCGGAAGATGTGTAAGCTTTCTGCTGTCCTGATGTCAATGGGGAGCTCATTCCACCATTTTGGAGCCAGGATAGCAAACCCACGTGTTGTTGCTGATGGGAACTTGGGTCCCCCTCGCAGTGTGGGTGCATTGAGCCGTTTGGCTGATGCAGAGCGGAGTGCACGTGCTGGGGTGTATGGTTTAACCATGTCCTGGATGTAGGAAGGGCCAGATCCATTCACAGCATGGTACGCAAGTGCCAGTGTCTTGAAGTGGATTCTAGCAGTTACTGGAAGCCAGTGAAGGGAGCGGAGGAGCGGTGTGGTGTGGGGGGAGAATGTAGGAAGGTTGCCATAAATTGTTGTTTCTTACACAACCACTAGAGGTGCTAAACTTTAAAAGGTGACTATAGGTCGTAATAAGCTGCTGAACAATCAACCTATTTGGTCGTTTTTTGGAGGAGGACAGGCTGGAAGGTCTTTATAACAGTAGCCAACACTTTCTTAGAAAACAAACACATGAAATAACTAATGAAACAAAACAAATTAAGAAATTGTGAATAACCTGACTCAAATTGTCAAACGCATTTGCAGTCACTGATCTTGTAGAGCAGGGGTGCCCAACCTTTTTTGAACCGAGAGCTACTTTTAAAGTTGCCAGTCTGCCGAGATCTACCAGTCCAAATAGAGATGCGTAGCCCTTACTGACAGCCGACTACCAGGTAAATACACACTTCTACTTGTATAAAACTGACCTTTGTACGATTAATACTTCATAAAATACTGCAGATCCTTTATCTTACCTCTTTCTAATCTACACACATACAAGTATTTAACTGAAGTTACACAACAGTGTTGTTGATACAGAGTTGGAGTTTATTCACACGTCACATACTGGTAATGTTTTCAAGAAACATTGAACAGTGCTGCCACATATGACACAGGAAAAAAAGAAAAGACACTGAACCCTTTCTTTGCCATTATATAAAAATAGTGTTGCTACAAAAGTATAAATTAGGCTTACTAATAAGACAACTCAGATCTGAAGCTACACAGGAATCTGCTGCCAAAGTGCAATAAAAAAGACAGAATTAATAGAATCAAACCCTTTTTTTGTTGCATTTTAGTAGAGCATAAAAAGAAATGCCTTTAAAATAGGATGCAAGCAATACTAGTTTCTTAACCTGAATTGATAATAGACTATAATCAATTTAAGTTTGCATTCTTATACCATTTTGTACAATAATTATAATGAATAAGTTCAAACAAACTAAAACTTACAGCTGATTAATAACGGTATCTAACTTGAGTTTTTATTATATCAAAAACCTGTTGAAATGCTACTGTTATTTTTACTGTCCCCAAAAAGCGTGTCCACAGCCTCCAGGAATGCTTCTTTCACAACTTCGCCGTCTTTGAAAGACTTCATGTGTTTGGCAAGAACGTGCCTGACACGATAAGATGCTATGGTAGCAGCCTTGCTCTTGTTGTTGGGCCTGGTGAAAATGGACTGCTGTGCATTTAGCTGTCCTTTCAGGTCCCTCACCTTTTGGGAGCGTAGGGCAGAATCAGGAGGGAATTCCGTCTCGTAGCGTTTGTGCACTGTTTTGAAATGCCGCTCCTAAATTACCCTTCTTCGATAAAGCCACGCTCGCATTGCAGATGAGACAGATGGACTTTGAATTGGAATAGATACAAACATAATCATCCTCCCACTCGGAGTGAAAATGATATATTTTGGGCTTTTTTGCTTCTGCCATAATTGCGGTCTTGTGTGTGTGCGGACTGTCACTCCTGTTGCCACGGACAACTTCAGCGAACTAGTGCCCACTGCCCACCAGCCACGCCCGACACATGGGGTCACGCCAATCACAAAGCTTTGATGCGTTCAAGTGCATTATTCTGGCACAGGAAGATTATGATCGACTGGTTGGGCACCCCTGTTGTAGAGTAATGGATTTGCTTTATGGTTTTCACTCTCTTTGGTTCATTTGTTATTTTTTCAATTCACTAGGTGCATCTATATCATCATAAAATAGTGTGTGTGAGCTTAACTGTGTGTATTCAACTAACAGGGGCATGTCTTATTTTATTTCTGCTTTTTTAAGTAAGTAAGTAAGTAAAACTTTATTTATATAGCACCCTTCTCAACACGAATGTACAAGTGCTTTACATACAGTACACAATACACAATACAACTATAAAATGTGCAATAAAAGGCATAAAACACAGCAAGTAAAGGATAGGATAAAACACCAATGAAAAAAAGCTACATACTACAGTTTTTAAACTGTAGTATGTGCTCATGTGTTTCATTGGTCTACTGCCTGAATATGCTATTCCATGGTAGTATTCATATTTAACCTCTATTTTGTAGAACAGTTCAAACATAGTGTGCACCTAAATATTTAAATATCACCCATAGCACGTGAAAACCAGAAGCTGAAAGTAAATCCATAAATGCCATTTGTCAACACACTCTCTTGTATAGTCTTCTGTACAGACCTGCATACAGCACATTTTATAATTATGTTTCATTTGTTCTACTGCAATCCCTAATAAAATATCAATACGTTTTGTTTTAGATGATCTTGTATTAGTATTAAAAATAAGGATTAATTTAAATCAGTTCTGCATTAAATAATGATTCACTTTTTGTTTACCAGCCTATACTTCTGTTATTTCAATAATAACAGTAAAAAATAAACTATTGCCAGTAAGCAGTTTAGTTTCCGATAAGAACGGCAGTGCTCGGAGTCAGATGTGAAGAATGGAGTCGCTGTAATATTAGTGAGACACTACACAGAGCTTCAAAGAGCTCTTGTGAGGAAGCAATCGAGCAGGGAAATGCCATCTGGTCATCCAGCTCTTTTTTGAATGACAGTGAAACAAAGGGCAGATTTTCACCCCCCATATCAGCTCACCTTCTTGTCTCTCTGTGCTGGAGGCAGCAGGGCCCTTGAACGCTCCGCAATTTTCTGAGAGAAGAGCAAATAAAGAGACAGGGTCAAGAAGAGTGTTTTGTTTTTCCACTTTTAAAGAGGTCAGACATTGTTTATTTGCATGTAAATGTGTGTGTAGCAATTAAGATATGAAAAAGTTAGTGTCAATGGGGCACCTCTATCTATGAATTTGTCATAAATAAACATTCATTGACCATGCAAATGCACTTATGAAATAAATAAATAATATTTCATGAGGAATTACCTTCTGCAGATCCCCGTAGCGCTGCACAGACTCTGAGAGTTCAGTCTTTAGTCTAGTCAGGTGCAGACGGTCTTGCTGTGCAACAAAAACAAGATTAGCCTCAATTAGCCCAAATGTTGTTTCATCCTCTGTTTATTCTTCAAAACGAAAGGGAATGAGGGTGGAAAAGGAGCATAAAATACCCGTGAAGAGCTGCTGATTATATCAGAGAGCTGTTTGATGAGTTGGCTGGTAGTGGTGATCACTTTGTTGGTTTGTTGCTGCATGGAGTGTCTGGGAAAAAGATTGGAAGGAATACAGGGTGAGATAAATGTGAAAAAGAGAGAAAGCAAGAAAAACATCAAATTAAATGAGACACGAAAATATTTTAATACAAAAGTTCAGGTTCAGGTTATTTATTTTACCTATAAGTAGATTCGGTTTGCAGATAAAAAGAAGGAAGAAGCTTATTATAGAGCTGGATAACCGCTGTAACCGTCTGCTACGTTTAACTTTGGCTTACCAATCAATCTGCTGGACCTCTTTATGATCTGAGTGACAGAGTTTCTGCTCTTTAAAGGCAGGTTACCAAACCATGACATTAAAGAAAAATACAGAATTGACTATAAAAGCACGATAAAACATGATCATCATGGTTTTGTCGATGTTAAAATAGGACAGTTTCCTAAGTCAATACAAACGCTGGCGATCCGTTTGGCAAACAGCTTCACAATTTGCTTCAAAGCTCAATTCAGAGTCAATAATTGTCCCGAGATATTTGTAAGATTGCACAAGTTCTGTCTGGTTCTTGATGGACAATATTGATGGAGTTATTTGTTTAGCATAGTAACTTTCTGCTACTGTGACAGCCTTTTTAAACAGCATAACATTGACATTTCAAAAATAGTTTCACAAATGTTCCTTCTGATGCTAGATTATTGTTACCTATTGAAGAAATGTGGAAAATTGTCCTTTGAAACATTTGAATTTATCCCAGTTTTTCACCCCTCAGTGGTCATCTTTTAAAACTAACGGTCCACCTATATAACCCCAGGACAAGTTGTTGTTTCCAATTTTCCGTGAGCAGAGATGGGGTCGTTACTAAAAAAAAGTAATATATTACATATTACATATTACTTTAAAAAAAAGTAATATATTACACTACTTCGTTACTCTCTACATAAAGTAACACGTTACTTTACTCGTTACTTTACTCGCAGGGCCGGCCCGCCCCTCCCTACAGGCAGATCACGCAGACTGCTAAAGTTTCAAATGTTCTCTTTAGTTCAGTTTCCATTGTCGCATAAGACTGATCCAGATAGCTCTGACTATGGCTGTCCTCTGTCTCCTGCTATCTGTATTTTGCGCAGTATATCTCTGAACGATACGATGGTGATTCCACTGTGCAAATGGGCAACATTACCTCTACTATGAAGGATGCTACAAGCCTGTCCATCTCTGCTTTGGTTACCGGTCCTCCAAATTCAAATTGTTGCTGCTTCGGAGTCGGCGGTGGCGCTCTCACAACATCCTCACTCTGGGTTCGGGGGTCCTTAACTATTAGCTTCACCTTAGCATGTGTTCTTTGCAGGTGTTTGTTGAGGTTTGACGTGGTGTTTGCAGCAGTGTATAACAGCTTCTGGCCTGGACACAGTTTGCACCTCACCGTCACATTCCTGTCTATTCTTCGGACAAACTCAAAATAATGGGCATACCTCCACCCCTCGAAAGTTATCGCTGACTCAGCCATGTTTATGCAGCACTGCACGTGGAGATGTGGACGCGCAAGTCGCGCAGATTACGTACATATAAACCTGCGGCGGAAACCCCTCTTGTCTGTCAGTGTGATTATGACTGATTTTATAAAAGTAACGAAGTAACGCGTGTCGGGGCAATGTTAGTAACTGTAGTGTGATTACTGAATTATAAAAGTAACGCGTTACACTACTCCGTTACTGACAAAAGTAATATTATTACAGTAACGCGTTACACCCAACTCTGGCCGTGAGACGTGGAAAGAGGAGACTTATGATAAGGGCCTGATACAGTTGTATTAATGTTATAACATGGTTGGAATAACGGAGTAATATGCGTGCAACATGGGTATAATTACAGTGTAATATGGCTTGAATTTAGAAAATAGCAAAAAAAAAAATCTAAATATTTAAAACTGTATGCCCATTTAAGGGTTGATTCTTAGCATGGGGAAAGAAGATTATTTTATGGTTAAGGTTATTTTGCATCAGTCAAATCTGGCAACATGATCTTTGTAACAGGGACATAGAGCTGTAAGCCATTAGCATGAGGCCCCACTATTTACCTCGGGAATTCACGCATGTTATCGTCAGAGGTGGGACCAAGTCATTGTTTTGCAAGTCCGAGTCAAGTCTCAAGTCTTTGCGCTCAAGTCCGAGTCAAGTCTCAAGTCTTTGCACTCAAGTCCAAGTCAAGTCTCAAGTCAGGATGGGCAAGTTCAAGTCAAGTCCAAGTCCTAAACTTTGACAAAACGAGACTTAAACAAGTCCTTATGTGCTTTTCAACAAATGTAATGACATCGATCAACAGAATAATACTTAATAATCAAACTGCTCTTTATTAGTCACATTAATCATTTAATAATCTATTTTCTCTCTGCTGGTAAAGTAACGTGTTTTTCTTCTATTGTAAGAGGGATCAGTAAGGTAAGGCTACCGTGGCGGTTTGATTCAGAAGGAGTTTAATGTATAAGATCCCTGATGCTAATACTTTTGTACTTTTACTTGTAACATTTTGAATGCAGGATCTTTTATTGTAACCGAGTATTCCTACACTCTGGTACTGTTACTCAAGTACAAGATCTGAACTTCTCCCACCTCTGGCAATAAATCCTGAGTGGTTACCAAAAAAAAAACCCTGCTCTGAAGGTTATTTTCATTTTACAAATCCTGCACTCAGCTTTGCTTTCTCCAATATCATTGAAATGCAGCCAGAAGCTGCTCCTTTTTTCGGTTTTCGCAAATTTCTTGACTTCTTCCGACGCGCTTGCATTTAAATCCGGCTCCCCGTGGCTCTGTAGCTGGCCTGTACCACTACACCTGCTGTCTTTGGAGCGTCTGCCCCCCACCCTTCTTTCACATAATGGTATGATCCTAGTGTGTCCTCGCATATGATTGGCCGCATGGTGGCTCAGCAAAATAAAGTCCCGCCCCTGCCTGCATGGATTCTCAGCAAGAGTTGCAGCGGCTGAAGATTCTGCTCTCCCCGACGGGAGTCTGCTCTTCAAGCGGCATCTCGCGATCGGCGTGTTGGAGACCCCTGAATTAAATTATCAAGTCACCTCAAGTCAGAAGGCTCAAGTCCAAGTCAAGTCCAGAGTCATTGGTGTTCAAGTCCAAGTCGAGTCGCAAGTGTTTTGTGATTTTGTCAAGTCGAGTCCAAAGTCATCAAATTGGTAACTCGAGTCTGACTCGAGTCCAAGTCATGTGACTCGAGTCCACACCTCTGGTTATCGTGATAGCTGTATATATTCCCCCCTCTGCCAACGCTGAAGAGGCATGTGACGACGTCATCAGCTCTACTGTAAGCAGACTGCAGACACAGCACCCAAATGCTCTTCTCCTGATCTCTGGAGACTTCAATCATGCCTCTCTCTCAAAAACTCTGCCCACTTTCAAACAATTTGTTACCTGCACCACGAGAGGCAATAAAACACTGGACTTACTGTATGCCAACACCAAGGATGCATACAGCTCATCCCCCCTTCCTCCCCTGGGCAATTCTGACCACAACCTGGTTCACCTCGAGCCTGTGTACCAACCTCTGGTCCAAGGACCGTGCACCGTGAAGAAGTGGTCTGAGGAGTCTGAGGAGGCCCTGAAAGACTGTTTTGACACTACTGCGTGGGATGTGTTCACTGACTCTCACGGGGAGGACATCAACGGCCTTACAGACTGCATCACGGACTATATTAACTTCTGTGAGGAAAACGTCGTACCCACCAGGACTGTACGGTGTTTTCCCAACAACAAACCCTGGATTACCCCTGAAATAAAGGATCTCCTGAAGGACAAAAAGAGGGCCTTCAGATCTGGCAACAGAGAGGAGCTGAAGACTGTACTGAGGTGGAAAATCAGAGAGGGGAAAAACAGCTACAGGAAGAGGATGGAGGAACAGCTGCAGTAGAGTCTGGAGAGGCCTGAAAACCATCTCTGGCTACAAAAGGCGCGTTCACACCGGAGTACTTTTACCCATACTTTTCCCGTTTAGTTCCGTTAGTGCCTGGAATTTTGCGTTCACACCAAAAAGAGAACTTAGTTCCGAGAACTTTTACCCCCATTTTTAGTGCCTGATAGAGAGGTGGTACTATCCTGGGGAGAAAAAAGTACCAATTTCGATTGGCTGGGCGAATTGCAAACTACGCCCCGTAAAACTCTGAAAAGTTTTGTGAAGCCGCCATTGTATTTGCTGGCATTAGCATTATTAGCATTAGCATTAGCCCCACGCACCAACGGAGAGAGAATAACTTATGGCAACACAATAAAAACCATGGGAGCGGTGGAGTGATGAGGAGGTGTTGGCGTTCTGGCGATTTACTCTGAAGGCTTACCCTGTTTCTTCTCCCCCCCCTTCCCCTCCACCCGCTGACGACACCTTTTCCCTCACAACCAACCAGGTGAGGAGGGAGCTGCAGAAGTTTAAAACGAGGAAGGCGGCGGGCAGTGGTGTAGTGGGGATTTTTTTACTGGGGGGACGCTATTTTAATTAGGTCATCCCAAACAATGCCACACAAGTGCGCAGTGCACTCACAAAACGGGCAGACAGGTCCACAGAAACTACCGGTATGCTTAGTCCTACTTGAATTACTGTACTGCAAAAAGCAGACGGCGCTGCGCTCAACACACACACAGACTCAAAACCATGGACACACTGGCACATAAATTACATAAACAATTTATAGGCCTAAATTGCATAAGCTACAGTATTGCAACTAAGCAGACATATCTCTCTCTCTCTCTCTCTCTCTCTCTCTCTCTCTCTCTCTCTCTCTCTCTCTCTCTCTATCTCTCTCTATCTCTCTCTCTCTCTCTCTCTCTCTCTCTCTCTCTCTCTCTCTCTCTCTCTCTCTCTCTCTCTCTCTCAAAATCTATTTAAAACTCATAACACAAACTAACAAAATTCCCAAAGTTGTCCTGAAATTAACTTGTTAAATAAACGAAACACACTACCAATAGAAATACATTGCTTTTAAAATCGCTCTGTGTGACACGAAAAAAAGGGGAAAATCGTGTTGTTGAACATGAATCAATAGATTAAAT